AGATGATATGGGACCTTCTAGTTAGGTTCCAGCCCAGGAGTAAACTCAAACTATGGGGAAGAATGGTCATATTTACTAGAGCTCACTGACGAGTATGCTCTCGATGGTGAAGTGGGCAAAAGGTTGAATCAGATGGTTGCTATTCACGTAAGTATGGCATATATGGAGCGGCATTTATGACTTCATTGAGTGATATGTGATGCATATATATTTTTCAATCATCAGATTCTTTTAGCCTGTATACCTTTTGAATATCTCCTACTCATTTTATTTATTATTTTTTTTATTGGCAAGCTAGGAATACTTGAACTTGAATTACTTTTTTGAAAGTCTCCAAGGGGACTTTTGAAGGCCTCCTACTCTTATTTTACATACACTTGCACTTATTTTGATACTTAGAGCCAGCATTTCATATTACAGTGGAAATTTAATCAATGTAGCTCTGTTTTAGAATGGTGAATTTAGAATGTTACATTCTTTGCTTTCTGTATTTAACACCTGAGGTAGAGCCTCCTGCATAATCTGAATTCATTGTTTTGCTAGGTGCGGCATAGAGGGTAGACCTGTGTGATAGTTGACTGAGGTTTGTCATTATATATGCTTACTTCTACCCTTTTTGAAAGTGTTAAGAGTCAATACTGCCTCAATAACAATAATATTCACTCTGGTTGTGTGTTTTTAATTTTGTTTTCTGTTTTCATGGGAAAATCTTGTTTGGCAAATTGTTTCCAAAAACTATTTCCGAGAAACTTTTCAATAACAACCCACTTCTGTTTCCGAAAACTAGAAGGTCCCGTATCATCTACCTTTTGTTGTGTAGTTGAATGTCTTGCGAACAAAACCCTTATATATTTTTTCACTTTCTTTTGTTTTGGTAATGATATTTTTTTTGGGAGTGTTATCAGGGGTTCAATTTAGCCATGGAAAGGGTTTTATACAAGCAATTGCTCCAATTTAAGAAAAAAAATTCATTGAGTATATTTGTTTTTCTTGCATTTGATGTTATCCCAGCTTAGTGAATATTTTCCTTTTGATTTGTTCTGTATTTTTTTTCAAACCAAATTTGATTGGATCTCAGATTTGTTTGATCGTTGTGCAACTTTTATGAAGTTCTACTATTTTGGGCAATTGTGATTTTGTTATTTTGATTTTCTTTTATAACAGACTCATGCTTTGTTTGTTGTTGTGTTTTTCCTTTTTTTCCCCGGGGAATTGGGTGTGTGACGATTCTATTTTTTTGTTTCTTATTTTTTTAATCTGTTTTTGAAGAATATTAAATGCTCTCTTAGCGGCTTCTTTGTTAGATTTCTTTCTAATCTCTGGAAACTTTGGCAATTGATGAAAATTAGGGGTTGTTTGGCATGTTCATCCCAAACAACCCCTTAATGAGAATTAGCTGAATTTAGTTAACAATTTGTGATGTTCCTTGCTCCAAACTTCCTTCTATTGGCTCACAAGGCATGTTTCAATATATATTTTGTCAAGTTCCTCTCTTTTGAAGCAGATTTTCATTTTAATGTATGGATCTTTTTTTCTATGATGTTAAGACTTTTTTGTATATATATATATATAACTTGCTTTCTCTTACTTGTGTAAGGTGCACGATCATGAAATATGAAAAGAATTTTACTTGCACGCTGTTTTTATTCTTGAGATACCAAAATCCTCATAGTTTTTTTTTTTTGATAAATGTCTTCTAGGCCTTGCCTTTATTTTTAACTTCAAATCTATCATACTCTACCTAAATATGGGATTTTTATTTATTTATTTTATTTGAGGAAAGTGTTTTCTAATTTGAAACCATTTGAAGAGTAGTTATGGAATGTTGGTAACAGAATATAATTGATTATACTTAAGAAAATTGAGTCTCTTATTTTTTTTTTCATTAGTAGCTATTGTTTGTTAAACGAATAATTTGCTCTCTAAGATAATGGAAAAAGGAAAATAGTAATAAGATTTTTCCTAGTTTTAGAACATTGGGAGGCACGATAACATGGTTGTTTATAATTTTTATTGAACAACGGAGTAGTGTTGGCCAATCCATCCAATCAATTGCACAATTGATTGGTGGTGGACAATCCTTCCAATTGATTGGTGAATCGATTAGTGGTGGCTAAGCCATCCAATCAATTGGACATTTGGTTGGAGTGGCCAATTCTTCCAATCGATTAGTGAATTAATACTTTTGCAAAATTTTAAATGTGTAATTGATTAGTTAACTAATTTTGCTAACTTGTAGAAAAATGATCTTGGGTCTTTACAGTGCCAGTGGCTGCCAATATTACGATAAGATACATGGCATAGAATCTATGCATCATCTCCAATTCATGTATCATTACTTAACTTAGGTACATATTATGCCTTTTAAGCGGATTTTTATGTATTAAATAGTTGACTATTGTTCTTGGATCACGCGTGCTTGCAAAAATGTTGAATGAAACTTTAGCTCTATGTGAACCAACATATGTACCTTTGAGTTTCAACCTTTAAGTTGATTTATAATTTCTAATTTTCTTGACCCATCGTGGTTATGTGTGTGTTTGCAAATTTGAATGGTGAATGATGTTTTCAGCCCTCGATGTTATACTGCATGTGATCACACTTCTGCAGTTTAAAACCTTGACTTAAATTTTTTTTATGGCTAAATCTTGAGTTATATTGACCAAGTTAATTTATTGAGTTGTCAATATGCATTTTTCTGATACCTTTTTTATTTCATATTTGAAAGAGTTGGGTTCATGAATGCTCTCTAGTGGGGATGTTTATTTTTTTGTCTATCGAAGTGTTGAAACTATGAAATCGATAAATATTGCTCATTGCAAGGAGCACCCTAAATTTATAAAGAACAAGGTGGTTTGTTGGAAGTAGCATTGACTATAAATTGTATTGCTAGTGTGCTAATCTAATCAAATGCTAGGCTAAAAAATCAAGCCCAATTTCAATCTCAACTGATTATAGTTGGTCATAAGAAGCGGCTGAAGCAACTATCTATAAATTGTAATCTATTTTTATCTCTTTAATCTAATTCCTTTTTCCTTCTCTGTTAACATTGCATGCAACGCTGTTCTAGTCACATGCTCACAACCCTTTTGCTTTACATTTGCCTTCGGTTTATCCATTACAGAAACTCAAACTCAGTGAGTGAATGTTGGTAGGTTATTTAGACTTTAGTTACACTTGATGATTTTTCTTTCGGAAATGAGCCGTAGCTCGAATTGGTTGGCTCGAAAGAGGGAGAGAAGAGAGGAAGAAGAGAGGAGAAAGAGACAGAGGAGAAAGAGGGAGAGAAGAGAGGAAGATCGAAAATGAGTCGTAGCTCGAATTGGTTGGCTCGAAAGAGGGAGAGAAGAGAGGAAGAAGAGAGAAAGAGACAGAGGAGAAAGAAGAAGAGAAGAGAGGAAGAAGAGAGGAGAAGAGCCAGCACTACCGCCGCCGTCGAGGATCGTCGCTGCTCGTCGCCGGCCGTCGCTGCTCGTCGGCTCTGCCTCGCCTCCGCTCCCCGCCTCCAGCCCCATTTGTTGGGCCCCTCCAATCCCTCCTCCTCTTCCTCCTACTCCCTCATTCCTCCTCCTCCTTCCTTCTCTTCTCCTTCTCTGCTTTTGATTCGAGCCAATTTCGAGCTCCACCTTTCGAGCTATGTAGCACTACCGTTTTTCTTTTTATTTGTTTTTGTCTTTTTTCTTTTGGGGTCCACTCCTTCATTGCAGGTATGTGGTGCCTTGACTTTTTAAACAACCTCGAAGATCTATGTTCCCTAGTATTGTAGGTGGGACCCTATCACATTGCTATGATGATTGGCATGGGCCAGAAAGATGCATACTGTTGGAGACGATGCTCAATTTGTATCTCAACCTTCAAATACTTGAACATGGGATTGTGAGCAATTAGGGTGATATGGAGAATCTCGCATCACACCTACAATAAGCTATGGATTGCCTCGCATGTCAAATAATATGAATGTTGAAGAAAGAAAATGCAGTTTCAGAACTTCTTTGTATGCGTAATTTCTTTTATTTCATTGGGCGTTGACTACTTTGTACATGTATGTTTGTCAGGTATTGTACTCATCAATGAAATTTGGCTCAAATTCTTGGAGTGTTAAAATATTATATTGGCGCCGTTTGGAAGAGGTGGGTGAGGCTAATATAGTATAAAATGAGAAATAAACAAAAAAAGTGGCACTGTTCACAGTTTTTTTTTTTTTTAAAAAAAAAAAAAAAAAAAATAGGCTCTGTGCTGGACAGTGTAGGCTGTCACAGCCGGAAATTGGTACATCAACAGCAAAATTACCATTTTGCCCCTTTATATCAATTTAAAAAATAAAAAGTTAGGGACAAATTTGTCATTTTAAATTTAAACATCATTTCAACACACTTTCCAATACAAGAACTCAACTAAAAATTCATCTCATCTTCCCAAACACAAAACTAAAATAGGCTACTAAAATAACTAAATACCCTACTAAAATAGCCACTATCCAAACGAGGCATTTTTTTTGTGTACATGTGATTCAAAATGTCTAATGGATTGCCAATCAATTTTTTGTATAAATAAAACTAAATCGGATTTTGCATAGGTCATATTGCATAAAGTTCCAGAATCGATTGGCCTACAGTTGTGCAAATTGGGTGGCTTTTGTGCACAATTGATTGGTGTACTTGTTGACGTTGGATATTGTGCCACAATCAGATTGTGCAATCAATTCCCAGTGGAATCTATTAGGCACTAGGCATATTACAATTTTGCTATCAATTGGAATTGTATTAGTGAAAATTTGGATGTTCTTTTTACAATTGATTTGCAATCAATTGGAATTGAATCTGTATAGTTTTTCATGTATTAATCCATGATGGATTGTTCAATTGATTGGTTTATATACTTGCACTATGAATGCATTTTGCACCTAATCAATTGTGCAATCAATTGGCTCGCACTTGTGCTGACATGGATTCATTTGCACATGCATAAGCAATCTGAATTGACATTTATCATCCTTTACATATATCAATGGTATTCAAATATCATATACATGGATTAGCATCCAAAATATTTCATGGACACATCAATAATCTACACATGCATGGATTACCAAAATCAAATTTACATCATCCACAAAGCAGCTATCCAAAATTACATTCATCCACATTAAAACCATCTAAATTTATATCTTGATCGCTAAAAAGGGAGGGTCGTGTTTTGGAAAGAGGTCAACCATCCGTGTACATTTGTTGGGCATAATCCTTGTCAGCACCTTCACCTCTGTCAAATTTCTCCTCACTAGAGTCTACAGGTACATGAAATGGTTATGTATCTTGTGGGATGCCCCATCCACATACAAATGGAATATGTCATATGGCTGAACATCTAAGAATTTTGAAATTGGATCTATGCTCTTGTTAGATATTGGATCCTGTACGTCGTGATTTTTATGATTCTTTTTCCTCTGGTGGCTTTCCTATTTTTCACATTCAGTTCATCTCGTCAACATACTGACTGCCACACCAGAGTGTCCATTCATAATGAAAAGAAAATGTAAATAATATTTTTAAGGTGGACTAGAAACGGCATGCATTAAAATCTGCAAGTTAAAAATAAAAAATTAATAGAAGCGACAACAGTATAAAACATCACTTTCCCTAAACTATTAAGGTAACAATCAAATAAATCAAAAACTAAAAGCAAGAATAAAAAGATTCTTACCATGTGAAGAGAGTGAGTGCATATGAAAGAGGAAAGGACAAAAGCTGCAAAAGAGAACTACAAATTAAGAAAGGAATGGGAAATGCGAATCCTCTAGGAGGAATTGCCCCCAAAGACTCTTCAATATATCACATTGAAAAGTAAAGACTACAAATTAATATATGTAGAAATACATTGATTTCCATACTTCACCACAAACAGGCAAAGATTATCCCCTTCGAAAAAATCCACGCAGCACATGCACGTTGCTACCTACAATGAGTGGTGAGTGGTGAGTGCTGACATGACACTATCCATGATTGGGCAATCAGAAAGAACTAGGAAATATAATACTCTCTTTGGTAATAATGGCGGTGATGATGGTATAATTGGTGGTAAAATGGTGGTTCTTAGGTGGTGAGTCCATTTTGTTTGATTAGTAAAGACCTGTGTTTTAAGTAGAGTACTGCAGGAAAGAATCTTTTTCCCCTTAATGTTGCACCTGAAGGTATCAACACTTATTTTATCCAATGGTGATGAGCCAGAAAGTATCCTCCCCTGCCAATAACTCGCCAACCTAAGAAGCATGGACACGGACACGGACACGTGACACGACACGAATACGACACGGACACGCCGGCACGTTAATTTTAAAAAAATGCAGGACACGACACGTGGAGGACACGCATGAAATATGTAATTTTATATATTTATTATATGTTATATATATGAATATATCATTCAAAGATAATAAAAAATGCAATATAGCACTAATTCCTATAAATTTATATGGTTTTTGTTTTATTATTGTATCTTAAGTTGTTTTGTTCAAACTTATAATTAGTTTCACATATGTATAATCAATAGATACACGTGTTTAAACAATTGACACGTATGTCCTCCAAGTGTCCAAAGAGTGTCCGGGTCTTTAAAAATATTTAAAAAATAGGACACGTTTTGAAGAGTATCGGACACGTGTCCTAAAAGTGTCCAAAGAGTGTCGGTGTCCGACACGGACATGACACGGATACGTCACCTTCTTAGAAGTGTCCGTGAGTGGTGAGTGGTGAGTGCTGACATGACACTATCCATGATTGGGCAATCAGAAAGAAGTAGGAAATATAATACTCTCTTTGGTAATAATGGCGGTGATGATGGTATAATTGGTGGTAAAATGGTGGTTCTTAGGTGGCGAGTCCATTTTGTTTGATTAGTAAAGACCTGTGTTTTAAGTAGAGTACTGCAGGAAAGAATCTTTTTCCCCTTAATGTCGCACCTGAAGGTATCAACACTTATTTTATCCAATGGTGATGAGCCAGAGAGTATCCTCCCCTGCCAATAACTCGCCAACCCATATATGTTGGACATCATCCCAATTCCCATGTCTCTAAACCCAAACCACAAAGAGACTTTGCCAATGAAGCTGCCACCTTCAAGGTGGCAGGTCTATTTTAAATTCAGCATTGCTCAATCACAAGAAAGTTACTCAAATTGGTTAGATCTTCGTTGGAAAAACTTGAGTAATTTGACTCTTCTACCCCAAGATACTCTGCCAATTCAATGAGAAAAATTTCAAGTATCCCTTCTTTGAATTCTATTTCCACGCTAGTGCTGTCATCACTAGTTCAAATCACATCACTATGCCACATGAATCTTGTAGCAAATGTGCATTATGGGGAAAGGGGATTCCTGTCTTGGCCAAGTGAAATTTCAAAAAAAAAAAAAAATGATATGTCCCAAGTTACAATCAAACAGCAAATGAATGCAATATCAATTCAAATATGTGAGCTAAAAACAAATTTTCATTCTTCCAACAAGTTCTTGGGCCACAGCATCAACTAACTTCGACCATCTTTGGTCAGATAATGGCCTTACTCAACAAGTTACAGGATGTCAACAAGCTTCTTTCATAGATGAAGCTACCTCAGAACTTCTACCCCCATGTTATCTTAACTACTCCAAGTTTATGACGTCAAAAACTTTGGGAATCAAAGAGATAGACTCTTCATTTTCTGTAATATTATTTTGGGTTACACAATACCATTAACAGATGTAATAGTAATTTTAGTCTCCAATTTGGCATCCCTATAGCATGCTTAATGAGCAAAGTATGACAGCTTGACTTTATCTATATCTATATCGTCCGTCCTTAATAGTTTTATAATAAAATAAATAAATTGTGGAAATGTGGCTCCTCTTGAAGCCACAACACCTCTTGGTTTGTCTCTCTAAGCAGCAAGCACCTCGACCAATGTCAAACTTAAATATTCAGCCCTCAAAAAACTATCAATCCTTCTCAAGAATTTACAAGTGGTGCTGAATAGTAGAACAACAAAAATAACTCGTATCAATGGAAGGTTTCTCAAGTCTAAAATCTAGCTTGGACCTTTGACAAAACATCATTTATAAGTTTACAAATTGATGATAGAGGCGAGAAGGGAGAAAGAGGGAAGGTGGGGGGAAGATGCTGTTGGGAGGAGTCAGAGTGGAACACCTAACCCTTGGCAAATATTTACACAGTGGCCGCTCTCATACTCAAACATATGCATTCCCATGCTTGGCAGCCCAAGCATTTACCATTACACCAAGCAATGATCCTAAGGTATTAAACTATCTTAATTATTGATAACCATATCCAGATTAGCATTGATAGAGCACAATTCACTATTAACTAGATTAAAAGAAAAAAGTACAAAAGGTTTCAAACTGGTGAGCAATTACAGTTTCAAGGAATTGTAATGGTTTTCAACTTTTGGCCACAGTTTAATTCAAACAAGCAAAAATGTTTGATGAAATGAAATTAACATATTAAAATAAGCATATTAGCTATGTTGCACGGACATGGACACGGACACAACATGGACACGCGGACACGCAAATTTTCAAAAAATAAGGGACACGATATGCTGGGGACACTTTTAATATATATAATTTTATTTATTTATTATATGTCTAAAATTAAAAAAAAAATTATTAGTTCCTATACAATTATAATAATAATAAAATTAATAAATATATTTCTTAAATTGTTTTTAATAAAAATGATTTTTTTTAATAAAAAATGATTTTTTTTTTGAATAAAAATAATTTATTCTATAAAGTTTAGGTTTAATAAAAATAAAGATAAAAGAAAAAAAGAAAAAAAAAGGGAGGGGAGAGAGAGAGAGATGTAATCAGGAAGTGAAAAGAAGGGAGTGAAATTAGAAAGAGAGAAGAGAATAGAAGAAGAAAAGAGAGACGAACCAGAGAAGATGAATTAGAGACGAAGATGAGCAGAGAAGCTGAACCAGAGCAAATAAAAAGAGAGTGAAATCAGAAAGAGAGAAGAGAATAGAAGAAGAAAAGAGAGACGAACCAGAGAAGATGAATCAGAGACCAAGATGAGCAGAGAAGATGAACCAGAGAAGATGAACCAGAGAAGAAGACGAGCAGAGAAGATGAACCAGAGCAGATAAGACGAAGAAGATTTAAGTTAGGGCTTCTTTGATTCATCTCTTTTGAACCGATTAGGGCTTTTTCGTTCAATCAATCTCTCCCTCGATCTGTTTCCCTCTCTCTCTCCAACAACTTCGGGTTCTTCGATCCGTGTCCAGAAAGTGTCATCGCGTGTCCAACTAAAAATATTAAAAAAAAAACAGAGTACACGTTAGAGAGTGTCGGACACGTGTCCACAGCGTGTCCGTGTCCGACACGTGTCCGACACTCGTACGCCAGCCTTGGGAACGTGTCGGTGCTTCATAGCATATTAGTAAGAAGAAGAAATAAGAATGGTAAGTGGAAATATAATGAGCGAGAGAGAGAGAGAGAGAGAGAGAGAGGGAGAGAGAGAGAGAAGGCATTGTTCAATAAAGCTTTAAAGCTGTTACTTAACAAATGAAGATTTGTTACCTCCAAGAGAAATTAATGAGTCCTCTTTATAAGCTTAAAAATTTCTCAGGGTGAGAAAAACAAAGAAGCTTGGCATACACAACCAAGGAAATCAATGGTGGAAAACAAACAGACATTGTTTTAAAAGCCAAAGAATTTGACAACAGATTGAAATCAGTTCGACTTACTTGTTCTCATCAGGATGATAACTTCTAGCAAACTTCCAATAAGCTAAAAATGAAAGAAGAAATAGTTAGCAATATAACATGAACGAAAAGTTATTACTAAACAATGCCTAGAGTTAGGATTGAAGAACAAATATAGACGTAGAAAGCCAAATCTGAAGGGGCACAATAAGATCCTTGTAATAAAAAGTAGAAATACTTTTTTATAAGTAACATCATTAAGCTTTATTGTCAAGAAGTTGAAAACAAAAAAGGCCACGTCCAATAGAAGGGAAAGAAAAAATCTAAGCAAATCTAGGCCAAATAATGCTATACTAAAAAGCACAGACACTTCTATGGAGGAGGTGTGTCGTGTCATACACCAGTGTCACACACCAACACATTGCGGATGCTCCTAAAAGCATGTCCAACACGAGATGCCAGATACTCGAAGGTCTCTTTAGAATGACAGCAAGAGACATGTATATAGGAAAAATAAAGTAATCTCAAAGAAAAAGGAACAGAATCTTAAAAAAGAAGCAATCAAACAAGTAGCAGTAAAAATCCTGTATGGTCAATTTGTCTCATTCGATTTTATTTTTGTATTTCAGGTATTAATACCAATAGCTGCCTCAACCTATGAGCATGTCAACTGCCTCCCTAACTAGCCACCATCACATCCCCTCCATAACCACCAATGCAGATGTAACCACAAAAACCGTCGAACTCTCACTGGCTCAATGATTGTAGAGGTGGTTCAATGGTTATACAGATTCTCTCCCCTCTATGCACATCTCTTTATTTCAAAACCTCCTTGAGCAATTCAAACTCACATCTCAACTTTGTAACATTCACCACTGCAATCACAATATAGGATTGCCATTGGGGTGCTTAGATTGTTAAAAGAGGGGACAATGTACAAATTTGTGTTTTGGGGCTTCAGATGTTTATTCACAAAAAATTAGGTTTTGTGAAGCTAAATGTTATTTGTTAATGCTTTTGATTAGCAGGGACCATACAGAGGTTGGGACGAACATTGTTGCACCTGGTTACTCCTTCAGTGTTGTTGTGGACTTATATCATTTTAAAGTTATTTAAGAATTTAGCAATATGTTAATTACATGAAAAAAAATAAAATTTTACTTAGTTGATGGGTGTTAAAATTCAATTTTGTTCATCTGTTAGTAATAGTATAGATAATAGAAATAGAACAAACTATACTAGTATAGACAATATAAATCGCTAACAAACTAAATCACTTTTACAAACATATCATCTACAATCATAATTTGAACAATATAATTAGCGCTACAATTGATGACAAAAAAATATGACAAATTTTACAAAACAAGATATTTTTTTGGGTAAATAACAAAACAAGATTAGCTAAGCCTAAAAGTAAAAATAAAACACTACAGAAAAAAATAGTGTAAAATCGTTACCAAGTTTGGCAAAAGCCCTAAATTGCCTAACCAAAAACTAAGTCGAATATGGTTCCTAACTACTACATTAATTAGTCAACGTAAACACTACAGAGAAAAATAGTTTAAAATCGTTACCAAATTTGGAAAAAAAAACCCTTAAGTTGTAGTTTCACTAACACTTGTTCAAAATTCTGAGATAATCCGAAGAATGAGAGACAAAATAGGATAAAAATCAAAGTGAATAGGGTTTTTAGTAGGAGGGGAAGGGTTTGAGAAATAACAACAGAGATACATACCTTCAGATTTTATTGGATCTTTCAGCCGAACTAGAATGAAAACTGCGCCGATGAGGGCGAGTACCACAGGCAGGAGAGGGCCTGGGCAGGCTGGGTATCAGAGAGAGAGAGATGAACGATTGGGTCATCCCACAGCACAGACAATGAAACACGTTGGAGGAGTAGAAGCGTCCGGGAGGTAACTGGTTCAACAGGTAGCCTTTTCTTTGGATTAAAATAAATCCAATGGCTACAAACATATTGCATATGGTAGAAAATTCCTCCACTGATCCTGGAGACTTTTCAACATAACAACCAGTGGCCTAATCTCTTCCATTTGCCTTCCCCAGTGCTTTTACCACTGCTTCCTTGAGTTCCTTGAGCTTCAATTCCACATAGAGGAAGGGGGGTTGGGGTGTTAGTAGAAAATTCGCAAATTGATTTATACTGTAGTCAATGCATTTCACTCGAGAGTCAGATCACGCAAAGCCTGTAAACATAAAAGGAATTGAATTTTACTGACCTGCAGCAGCCAGAGATGTTCAACTTCACTGAAGCTTTTCCTTCGTTGGGTCTCAAACTCTTCTGTGATCTTCAATCAGCCTGACTTTCAAGCATGTGAATTATGAAATTATGATACATGGAACATGAGCTATCTTGAACCAGTCCTCGCCTGTTGCTCTTTCCAATCTTTTTTCCAATTTAGGACATCCAGAAATCAACAAATATCGGAGTGCAGATATGTCACACAATGTTTCAGGGAGGTATGACAGTTCAAGGCATCCTTTAATGATTAGCTTTTGTAGGCTGGGGAGGTTGTACATATCGTTTGGCAATGAAGCCAGCAAAGAACAACCTTCAATACTCAACTCTTGAAGTAAAGGGAGCGATTCCCTAACATCTAGCATAAACTTCAAGTCATGGCACTCTATGATATCCAGCTTCTGAAGGGAAGTGAGATACCTTAAGCGTATTGGAAAAAATGCCATTTCATTACAGTAAAGAATCCCCAGATGTTTAACAGAAGTAAATCCCTGCATACACTCCTCAAAGTGGTAATCAAGGAAAACACAACGGCGTATCATCAGTTTCTCGATAGAGTTTGAATTCCCCAAATCCCCAGGTAACTCCACCTGAATACCATTGATAACAAGGGAGGAAAGTGATCTTAAGTTGGCCAGGGAACATAATAGCTTCTTGTTGCTATTCCGGATAACTAAGTTCTTCAGAGCAGAAAGAACCGGGAAGCCTATAAGCTCAGGGCAATCTTCGACTATCATTGTGTTAAGGCAAGGAAATGTGTATCCTATTGTCGCACTAGTTGATTCTTTTAAAGAGGCCAAATTCAACCATTCAACCAATACAGGCATATTAGAAAGCTCAATCTGATGCAGAGAAGGGAATGGAGTACCAGAATTATCGCCATAAAACTCAGGTCCTATGGATCGCAAATTAGTCATCCATCTTATACAAAGCTCCTTAAGGTACGGTAGCTGGCCCAATGGTGGAAGTTCTTCACATTTGCAGTGGGTGATGAGAACTTTAACCAGATTGTGGATGGTTGAATCCATCATCCATGACGGAAACCTGATACTATTATAGCCTGTTATATCCAGGACTTTAAGTTTTGGGTGCGGCCATAAGCTTTCTAAAAGGAGGTCACTAGATATTTTAGAAGAAGCATCCACAACATGGTTCCATGATAATCCCAAATGGTAAAGATTTTCTTTCTCATATAGCCTTGCATCACGTGCCTCTGAGATATGTGTCACATTTTCAAGATTCTTTATCTCTAATTTACCTCTGAGGTTTAGCTTATGCAAATCTCCTAGGTGAGCAGATCCCTTACTCTCGCCCAAAACAAATAATGGCAGTGATTGAAGAGAAGTTAGTTGCCCAAGCCTCGATGGCATGTGAGATAATGAATGACAGAAAGAAACATCCAAATGTCTGAGATCAGTCATATTGTGCATTCCTTCAGGTAACTCCTGCAGATGAGAACACCTTGATAGCCTCAAAGTCTGCAAGTGTTTTAGGTTGGTTAAGCTATTGGGCAATCTTTTAATGGATGTCTGGGAGAGGTCAAGGTATCTTAGATGCTGTGAAATAGCAATATGACTTGACAATTTCTGAATACCACTGAAAGACAAATCCAGAACCCGGAGACTTTTCAGTCTAACTGAAGGATCAACGGTCCCCTGGAAGCCACCTGATAATAAAAGCAGTGTCCGCAGGTGTTTCGGAAGATCTAGTGATTTTGAAATAGTTGATGATTTAGAATGAAAAGCCAAAGATACCTGACAGAATTTTCTGGATTGACTGCATCCAACCCCAGCCTTCACTACATGGTCAAAATTCGCAACAAATCTCGCTAAATCATGCAACAAGGGATGCATCCGGTACCCAGTTGTTTCACCGTACTCATCCCATTTCTCACCTGTGAAGAATGACCTGCACAACAGCTCCTGAAAAAAAACATTGCCAATCTCCTCTAGCGTTCCGTTTCCTCCAGTTGACTGAACAAGACCTTCAGCAATCCACATCTGGATCACTTTGTCTTTGTCCAGCACACGATCCTTTGAGAAAATGGAACAGTACGCGAAGCACTGCTTTAGGTGTGGTGGTAGATAGTGATAGCACACAGAGAGAAAATTATGGATATCAGAATGCAATGGTGTGATACAGCAGGCCATCCAGGGACGTGCTGACAGCATTTCGAAGCAATCGTGGACAGAAAGCCACTCTTCTTTTGTCTTGTGGAATCTCATCAGGCCTCCGAGAAGATTCAAAAAGAGAGGGATACCAAGGCAGCGGACTACAATTTTTCTGGCAATGGACACGATTTCTGGACTCTCCATAACTTGAAAGGGCTCGAAAGCTAGCTGTCTGAACAAAGACCAACTATCTTCTTCGGACAATGCATTCAATTGGTAAGGCCGAACCGTGGACATAAAATCTGCAACTTCACTGTTGCAAGTTGTCACTATAACACTCGATCCAGGTGCAACAGTAGAAAACCATTTCTCAAGCAGTCGCATCCATGCCTCCCGAGACATCATCGAATTGACTCCCGCTAACACGATTAGACATGTTTTTGATTCCAAGGCATCTCTAACGAGTTCGTCTAGCTCATCTACAGCAACCAGTTGACAGGACATCCCCATTGCAGATTCGACGATCCCTTTACCAATCTTTTCTGCAATAGAATCATCTGGGACATTACCTTCCGCGTCTACGGACACCCAAGCCCTTAAGTTGAAACGTGCCTTTACCACCTCATCATTGTAGATCATCTGGGCAAGAGTGGTTTTTCCAACCCCGTCCTGACCGACAATGGGAATAACACGAGGCCGCAACTGGGAGTTGTTGTCGATCAACAGATCTAACATCCGATTCTTGTCCTCATACCTACCCAAAATTGCGTCGGATTGCAACGACGCCTTGATCTCCTCAACCCCTTGGAGGTTAAGTTTAGGGCGGCTTCGGATGTGGGATCTGATGAGAAGGCCAGCCTCTCTGGAATCATAAGGAACTATGTCCTTCCCTTCCTTCCACAATTCGAAAAACCTCAGTGCCAATTTCTTAACCTTGCCCAGTTTAAGAACAAGCTCGTCAAGTCTTCGTGGAAAGGAGATACAATTAACTACCTCCTTCGCCAACAAATTAGACACAGGTGATCGAATTAAGCTTCCGGATAACAAGGTTTTGCAAAAATTATTGTTTGCTATCATCAGATCCAATAGATCAGCCGCATCATAAGCTGCTTCCTCAACTTCCTCCAGCCATTCACCGTTGGCGATTTCCTTGAAGAAAAGTTTATGTTCTGCAACAACCACCACCTCGGCGATTTGATTGATAGTGAACCGGAGTTTTGTGAGGTCGCACTCCATCAGGGCCCAATCGTTGCCGCCGCCAGCAGCAGCATCGGAAAGCAAATTTAGTTTGCCTAGCAGTGCGTCGATGAGAGGAGACACAACAAGTTCTCTGTCCATTTGTTTATTAACCAACCGCCTGCCTGGAATTCTGAAGATTGAAATGCAGAAAACAAACTCCTCACAGCGCAGAAACCCTCCGCTATTCAGATTTCGGATGCAAAGACTTCGTGAATTTTGACCTAACTTAATGCGCAGTTGTTGAGTTGGATCCAGTCAAGGAGAGTCTAGATCCTCTGCACTGGTCCCTGTTGTCCCACCAAAACTACGTCGTTTTGAAGCCAAAGCTCCCAACCAACAACAAAAATAAATAAATAAATAAACACAGGGTTGTTTTAGGCTACGTTGGGAAGAAGAGTTGGATTGGGTTTGAGACTATTTTAGTTGTAAAAAGATAAAATAAATTTTTTAATCTAATATTCAACTCATAATTTTTACATTCTTTTTTTTATAAAAAATTTAAAAAGTCAAAAAATCTTTTATAAATGAAACTTTTCAACCTCAAATTAAAATAATTAAAAAGTTAAAAAACACTGTTTAAATGAAGCCTTATTATGTAAGTTGGTTTTTAGCATTTAACTTTTTAATTATTTTATTTTGAAATTAAAAAATTCCGTTTAAGATAAAAAAAAAATTTGACTTTTTTAACTTTTGACTTAGAAGTAAATGTGTCTATAATTGAAATTATGAAAATGCCCTTCACCAACAAATTTATATCTTCTACAATTTTTTTATTTTTTATTTTTTTCCTGTTGTCCCCATTTGGGGAATTTCCGACCCAGCTCGTTGTCCATTGAACAGTAAGCTCAAACCAATTTCCACTATTCCTCTCCACATTGATTTTGCATTTCCGACAATATTTTTATATTAATAACTAACAAATTATTTTTTCTTTTCACATTAACAAATTATATTAATAACTAGTAATGTAAAAAAAATCAAAAAATCGACCAAATCGATTGAATCGGACTAAACTAGTTATGTTTGGCCTATTTTTTAACAAGAATCGGTTTGTATGATTTTTAAATTTGATTTTTTTCGATTTTTGATTCGGTCTCGGTTTAAGCACCTTATACACTGATCGCAACCAAAACCGATCGCTTCAATATATATTGTATTTATAATATATATATACATATTCTCTAATAACATAATGATATTAATAAGTATAATAAATTATTAACGTCAATTAATTAACCTTATCATCTTTATAATCTAAGGCCAAGTTTGGGAAGACTAAATAAGTGCACTTTTTGATTTTTTTTGTATTATGTGTAGAAAAAGTAGAGAGGAGATGTTGATTGATATGACCCAAAAAAGATAAAAAAATGAAATAAGTGTACTTTTTTAGGTTAGCCAAACTTGGCCTAAGTTTGTAAACTCTTATTATATATAATTTTAATTCTAACTTATTATTCTTGAAACCTTAGTATTTTAAACTTTTTTTGTTTTTATTTTTGTTAATTTAGGAATTGAAAAGTATGTATTAAATGGATGGATTAGATATGTTTGAATGGTAGACAAATAACTAATTTAATGTTTTTATATAGATTAATGATTATATTTAGGATAAACTACCAATAGGTCTTAATAGTTAGACTTAATCCCCATCAAGTTCTATTGAAAATAAGTTTTCGTAAAATTGTCGCTAAAAATAATTTTTTTTTGACAATTTTTTACATACGTCGCTAAAAATTGACAATTCGTGACTTTTTTTGTCATATTTTTATAAATTGTCGCTAAAACTTAGAATTAATGATATTTTTCTATGACAAATTTTTTTCATAGGACCTATTAGACAATAAGCCAACTTATTAGGACCTACACGTAAGTACCCCTTATATTTAAAAGTGGCTTAAGTTTAAAAAATTCTAAACCGATTAAACAACACCAAACCGAACCGTTTCAATTGGTTCGGTTCGGTGTGGTTTGATGGGAGAAACGATTTGTATCAGTATTCAAAATAATAAAACCGACATTATTAGTTCGATATAATTTTTATCTAAATACCATTCGTACCGAACCGATTACATCCCTATTAATAACTAACAATATTTTTATATTAATAACTAACAAATTATTTTCCTCTCCAAATCAACGTAAATCATATTTATTTCAGTCTTCCTTTTACATATGTCATACAAGCGACAAAAACCAACCCATCAAAAGATTTTTCCTCCTACAGTGTAATAACAAGCATTGCCAAAAGTCGAACCCACTTTTTTAAAACACGTACACACATGTTTCGGATGATTTACGTGTACATCAATCTATTTCACAACAAATGACATCCTATTTGCAAATATTACTACGTATGATATTCCTACAATCCACACCAACAAATTGCATTGCGCTTCTACGTTACATTTGTACTATTTTCTAATCCTGTAAATGATATGCAATTTTACCTACATAATACATAAATATGACGTGGAGCAATAACTAACATATTGTACACCCCTGAACACACCAAATTAGCGGGTGTAGATGAAGAATATTTCACAAATACATTAGTAGTTGTACTATATGTTTCCCAGCATTCTGTGCTTGCGCATGTACATCAACTTGTCTCTTATGTGAAGGTGCACCGTTGCCATATGAGGGTCATCATTCCCAACCATTAAACCATTCTCTTCATGTGCAGCTTCGAGTATGCCATTTACTATTGTAATAGCGTCTTCTTCGGTTACGATGGGGTTAATAGTCATTCGATTTTTAGTACTTCTACGTATATACTTATGTAAAGCCATTGAGGCACTAACTAACTGTACTTGCACAGATGCGAAGTCATACCGAGGCATATTTCAAGTAAACCCCCATCGATTTTTTCATGCCTCGAATGTTCATTCCACGACACTCCGTAACGACATGTGAACCTTGTTAAATAATTCCCTCGGATTTGCTGCGCTCCTAGACCTTTGGTTGCAAAATTCTTGTCGGTGATAACGGCTGCCTTTGAATGCTGCGAGGTAACCTGTGCGGTTTGGATAGCTAGCATAAACAAGATAATATTTGCCTACATGAATGCAATCGATACTGCGGTAAGGTTTCATTTTGTTTTTTTTATATATAAATACACACATGTATGCGTCTTTTATCATACTTTCTTGAGGGTGCGGAAACGATACATTGTTATTGGTGATTATTTCGTTGAAGATGAGACTATCGTGCATACTTCCTTCCCATCCAAGCGACACAACACATGAAACACATGTCAAAATCGCACACGGCCATGATATTTTGCGTGTGACAATATTTTCTGCCAAAATATGTTGCAGCCTCAAGCCCCGTAACCTTCGCAGGAACATGTGTGCCATTTATAGCTCCGATACAGTCTTGCCAACAGCGAAGTCTACGTTAATGGCATTTACGCCATAATTTCCCATACTAACCCATTTTGTAATAAATATAAACAATGGTTTTTACACATAAACTTGAATTTCACATGTCGACATTGATGCGTTTCTGTCAAATTTTTCCTTGTTACACGATATTGGTAATATATTCAAACAATTAAATTTTCATGCGCACACACATTGTAACATTTGTATTTTTTTTTAACTACTTCCCGTTAAAGTTTTTAATTTTGAACAAACACCATCAATGTCGTTAACGAAACTTTAATGTATTTTTCGGTAAATTCAATGCCTTATTCAAAAAACTAATACGAAGGGTCAGTTGTTTTGTACACATTAAACCCATGTGTTTTCCCATAACCATGAATAATTACACATAATTTTTATTTTGTTATTAATATTAATTTCAAACACTTAAATAAAGTAATTAAATTACGGCTTCGAAATGGTACCTTGAAAGGTAGGTATTTCCGTTTTGACCATATATATGGATGTAGATCATGTTGATTATATGTTGGTCTGCAATGCGCAACAGTAAACTCATTCATCACCTCTAACACATTGTGCACGTGGCATGACACAGTCTCCCTTGAATGTTGAAAGCATTCCTGGATTTCTTGATTCTTAAACCATTTCAACACGAACATTGCAACGCTTTCTTGCATTCACATTGGGGTACTATTAAGTCGAAATTATTGACTAACGTATCACACAAAGACGAAAACACGTCCTTTGGCATGCAAACATTTTATTCGAAATGACCAACGTAGCTTGCATATAGTTTGGCTATCCATGCATGTTCGGTCAAAATAGAAATTCTACATGGAGTTCTACATAAGTGTTTTTCATAGTACTCTTGAACATACCGACATGCTTCAAGGAATGTCCAATTATTTTGTTGTTGCAGTTGTATTGCCATTTCGTTTAGCATTTCCATGAACCCGTCTTTGTTGCTACCTTCCCCGTTGTTCATCACGATGAAATGCAGCGAGACCTACAACATATCCACTATTCAAATCAGTTGACCTGTGATTGGTGTGGGATAACGGAATAAAGTGGTGATGCATTTTGTGACCATTGTAGTGCTTATTTGTCACCACAACTAAGGAAACCAAAAAACCAACTCAATGTAGTGCGGAAAAGAAAACAAAATAAACAATGAAACAACTATTTCTTTATAATAGAAACCATGAAATTGTTGCATGTATTTCCTATACAACGGAAAATATAAGAAAAAAAAAACTAGCAGAATTAAACTGCTGCCTTACGTTCTCTACAAAGTTGCATCAATATTATTATGAACCAAACACAATTCTTGTTCAGCACACAACATACCAACCAAAAAAAAAAAAAAACCAGAAAGAAAATATCGAAAGCAATTTTGTGTTTATTACAACCACACACAACCATTAATTTCAAACATGAGAATGCTTGGAAACCTAACCCAGCGCGCAATTCAATAGCCATCAAACCCGTCGAGCACTGGAGAGGTTCACAAAAGGCACAGCAGCGCTGCTTTGCATCTACTTCTGTGACAGCCACTCTATAATATGGTCATCATCAGGCTGGCACATCATCACCTCCCGGTAATCTGCATTGTCCATCAGTGACAATGCAAAGTGGAATAGCGGTGTACGAGAAGGGAAGAAATGCATTTTAGATGCTCCATGCACTCAGAAATTATGTACAGTGATTCGTTACCAATCACATACCTGACAGTAACTTGTTGATTTTGGATTCGAACCATATTTGTCAAGTTGTTCATGTTTTCAACTATAATTGACGCACCACTTATCAGCTTCTTCAACTTTGCACAACTTGCGGTTGGAGTTCGTTTCCTTTTTCCCCTATGTCACCAACTTCTATTAACGATTTGGCCTCCACGTCGACTGCACA